GTGGTTTTAGAAAGTCAGAGCCCTGTTTCAGCAGTGATCTATCTGAGTCTGCGCTTGGGCTGTCTTTTGACAAAGGCACCTCTGGCATCTCCGTATTCGTAGTATTGGTACCATACCTGAAGCCTGTGTAATCTGACCCTAGCTAACCAGAAGATAGTTATTTTGGTGTTTTTGTGGTAGTTTGGTTCACATTGCTCCTTACAGGTACATATTTCTCACTGTGTAAAAGTACTGGAAATTTATTTTGCCCTAGTGATGCTTATCTAAATTATTAGGTTGAGAGTACAGTTGAACATAACTTGTGTTTTTCTTCCCCTGCTGCTGGTGAGAACAGTGCAATGTCAAGCTTATGATAGAAATAGCTGCCTTATTTAATGGAATTAGTACGTCAGTACAGCATTTCTAAGTGTTTCCTAGCATCGTCTTTTGTGCTTTTTTGTTTTGTTTTCAGTTCTTTGAGTATTTCTTAATACACTTAAGCAAATTTTGCAGAACAAAATATATTCTTGTGTGCTTGGTGTTACCTCATGGCTCTGCTGTCATAACCAACCATGCAGAGCTTCCTGAGCCTGTTGCTGTTGCCTGTTGTCACACAGCAAATGGACCAGGGCTGCTGTGGAGTATTCTGGCAGCTGCCATTTGATGGTATGATGTGCACTGCTCCTCAGGTGCGATCAGAAAGGAGGTTCAAGCAAACATCTCTGTTTTGCTGACTGATGTTTGACCATTGGAAATGTCAGATAAGGCTTAGGAGGCAATTTGAGGACTTGAAATAAGTGTTGCCCTGGTTAAATATTTGTTACGCTTTCCTTGAGGAGGAGCCTGGAAAGGAGTCACAAGAGCTTTTTTGTCTTAAGTAAGGTTCAAGTTTTTAAAACAAGTTCTTCAAATCTCAACAGACAATACAAGTATTTTCTTTTATCCACAAACATTTCTGTGGTATTAAGCAATTTGTCTTTACAGGCTTTCTAAAGTGTTAGATTGATGAAATGCATTGACTGCAAAAGTCAGATCTGTGTTTCCTGGACTGATTGGACCAAGTTGTTCTAAACGTGGTAGGATTGCACAAGTTGGGTTTGAAAAAGCTGGTTTGTCTTTTTGTGAAAACGCTGAAGTAGATTGGTAGTACAGACTGTAAAACCACTGTGGAAGCTGGAAGTATGTTTCTGAAACTAGAACTGTTTCAGAGGCTCATCCCCCCTACCGGCACATGTGGCAAGGGTTTGTCACCATCCCACAAACCACTTCTGTCGCACAGTGAATAAGCAGAATTAAACTCGAGCTTTTCTAATGAGAATGGAACTTAAGGCCTTGTGAATGTAATCCTTGAAGTATGATGAATCATGAATGCACACTTACTTTTGACCGTTTTGTTCTTAAAAGAATATTTAAATGAAGATTTTTGTGGTACCAGTATAGCGGTTCCAGTGAATACGCAAGTGTCATGGAAGCATCCACTGCTGGATCTTCATGTCTGTGCTGCTGGGGTCTGAGTAACTTATGGGAAGCGATTTCGCAGTTTCCTGTCTGACCCCAAATGAGTACTGCTTTGTACTGTAGACAGTTGTTTATTATGAATTAGCAAGAAACTGGAGTGTGACGGATCTTATTGGCTATCGTTGTCATCAATTTATCATTGAGGCTACAAAATGCTTTTTCTCCTTCTGCCCCGTCATTACCCCATTCTGCTACTGAGTACATTCTCCTACTCCTGGTCACTCTGGGCTGTAACCTAGGAAGCACTGAATCTCTTGCACCCTGCAGCAGGCTGTGTGTGCATTGCGATGGCTTTCTGCAGAAATTGTCAGTGGTGTGTAGGGTGAAATCTTCTGCTGAGACTGGCACTTTTCTGTTCCTATGGTAGTTTGTTCAAAGCTGAGTTTTTAGAATTCTTTCCTTACTCTTCAGTCAATTCTTTCTCTTCCAAAGCATGAAGTAGATACTATTCTGTGCAACATACTAATACAGACCATAAAGAGTACTACTTACTCTTTTTGATCGCTCTCAGGACTGTACTTGCATATCTTCTATTACCCGTGACCCAGAACAGCTGACAAATATGCATTAAAGGTGTGGATCTGAAAGTATTTTGGGAACAGATGCGTGTTAAAATCAACCTGTATTTAATTTCCTGTCTTTGCCTCAGAGGTGGGCTATGCTAACCCTGCTTCCCAGTCTGTTTAGCAGATTGTACAACTATTGAATCATGCAGAGGAGAAGGCTGTGCTGAATTCTCATAGCATCACTTTCTGGAAAATGAAAAGTTGGTACTGGTCATTCCAGCCTATGTGGCTTGCAGTATATCCAAGTTGTACCTCTGAAAGTATTTTCTTGTATGCTTTTAAAATGGGCTAAAGCAAAAAGGATCAGCTTCCTATGGTGCTTTTTGATACCTAGCTTTTTTCCTCTGTATCACTTCCTCACATGTATCCTTTCCCATGCAAAATAACTTCTATTTTGGCACAGGTAAGGGCAGTGTTACATAGGCCAGTGTCTTCTACGTGCAGGGGTGTTCTTTGTACCATGTTACAAACCAAGTTTAGCATTGCACAGATGAGCGTAGTCTGTGTGGAAGCTTCCTGTCACTGCTTATGTGTCTCTTCAAGAACTGAATCATCCTATCCTTTGTTGTAGCAATGTTTTCAGATAATATATTTAGCGCTTCAGTCACTGGATGGCCATACTTATTGTCCCACCTCCAAATATTTCCTGCTTTTTCTTCATTGACTAACTTTGCAAGTTTTTTCAAGAGCAGTGCACTTTAAGAAAAAAGCCCAGAACAATCCTGTGTGCTAGTTCTGTTACTGTTTTTAGCATTTGGTGATTATAGTCTGTGATAATATCCTTGGAGAAGGGGGGGGGGGGGGGAAGTCTGAAAAGTGGTGATACTTGACTTATTTTTATTTTCCTTTGCCATTGTCAATGCTGCTTTTTTGGATTGTTGGAGACATAGATTTAAACTAAATTAATGCGAAGTTTTATCCATATTTGCATATAAAATTTCCTGTTTTTTCACTATATCCAGACAAATTTTATTAGTGCTTTTCTGTATGTAGCAGAATTGCTAAATTTTGTGGAGTTTTTTTTTCCACTTTTGCTGGAAGAATTATTGGAGGACTCTTTTTTTTTTTTCCTTCTTCTGTTAAAAAAAAAAAAGTTGAAGTCCACAGTGAGTCTCCAAGTATTTTAGTAGTTTTAGAAGGATTCAAGAAGAAAACTGGCTTTCCAACCTCATCTTATTCATGATGTCCTTCTGCCTGTATGTTGTTGCACAGTTGGGGATAAGATTTATATTTTATTTTGATTTACCAATTTCCCCGATTTTCCTGTTCCCCAGAAGAAAGCAAACCATGAACATTTTGGATCTTCAAGGTTGATAATCAAGCATCAAAGATGGAGGGGAACATGAACAACCTCTGACCTTCTACCTGCTCAGAATACCACTCAATGGAAATGCTGTATTTTGAAGCTGCATTCTCTGTTTTCCTCTTGATGGTGTTACACACCACCACTGTGTCAGTGCCTATAGAATGGCTGGGGTTGCAACCACCCAGCTTTAGCTGCAAGCCAGAATTAACTGACAGAAGTTCTTCAGGCTCCTTTTTAAATCTGGCTGTTTACACCATCTAAAATATACCAGAGGAGCCAGCAATGCTTGGTTTTGGTTTTGGTGTGGGGAGTTTGGTTGGTTGGTTTTTTGGTTGGTTGGTTTTTTTTCCAAAGATAATTTGTTTGTTGGTGTTTTTTTTTCCAAAAAGAATTTGTACTCCTTTCCTCCTCCTCACTTTTAAGGTTGCAAAGGCCTAATTGAAGTGGGATGAAAAAAGCTCTCTTGCTTTTGTTATTTTCTAGACTGCTGGAAGGTGTGGGCTGGATTTTGTTATTAGAGGTTTTGACTTTTTCAAATTTATAGGATTTTAAATAGAGGGAGGGAAATGATAACATATTGTTGTGAATGCAGCAGACCTCCTGTCACTCATCTCAATTGCAAAGACCTTGTACCTGGAGTCAGGGGCCTTCGTTCTCTAAACGCAACAGGAGTTGGGTGCTGCCTGTTAAAAGCGAGGTTTTGCTTTCCGTTCAGTTGTCAGGGTGTTGGAAGCTGAGTGTTTCAGAGCAAAGCACCTGAGCCAGCCTGAGCTGTGCTCTTCCTCCAGGTATTCTGAGCAATAACAGCTTTTTCTGTTTCTTGCAGATATTCTTAATGCAGCTGTTACTCCCTAACACGGCAGTGTATTTCCGAAATCAAATATAGCCCTATTCCATACTTGCTGCTGTAGTGGTTCTTCCAAAGTTCCATGTCCCATGATGTTTAGAGCTGGGTTCACTTGGCTGTAAACTGCTGATGAGCTGGAAGTACTGGATAGTTAGATTTTTTAAACTTCATCATAGTAAATATTGTAAAAGGAAAGAAGAGGCTTTTCTGGGTGATCTTCTTATATTTCAGCAATGAAGCTAATACCTATGATGTTTCTGTACTCTTGAGACTTGAAAATATAACATAAATGTTTTCTTTCAGAGATTAAGAAGATTATCAACAAAATACAGAACTGAGAAGATCTACCCAACAGCCACTGGAGAAAAAGAAGAAAATGTTAAAAAGAATAGATACAAGGATATATTGCCATGTAAGTCTGATCTACGTGTTAATAGAAGGCAAAGAAAAGTCATTATTATTCTTTGTGTTTTAGTTACTTAGTTATTACTGAAAGGCAAAATTAGAAATAATTTGCTGAAAGATAACTTCCATAAAATTTTTATTTTTAACTTGGAAGGCAAAGTAAGAGAACTTTTATATATTTCATTACGAGAACGAGCGCCTGAAGTTAAAACGTGTCCTAAACCATATCAAGCTGAAATTTTCATTTTAGCTTGGTGCAATCTAGAACTTTACTAGGTGCTTAACTGTATTTTTTTCCTGTAGGAGCACGTTATTCATGGTAGAAAACAAAGAAATGTCAGCATAAAATCTAGATGAAATTTTAAGAAACTTTAAGGAACCTGGTTTTGTGGTTTGAAGTGAAAGATGGCTTTTGCTTGTTGGTAACCTGCAAATGGTGTCAGAGAACTTTCAGTGCTCGATTATCTTTGGTTTGTATTTTGCTAGACCCCAAATTAAATTCTGTTTAATGTACAAACACAGAAAACAAGAGTCAGAGCGGACTTAAAATTTTAAAACCACCAAAGTGTGGATGTAACAGATCAGTGGTCTGCAGTGCCAAGATTGCCCCTTACAGGTTTGTGTGGCTCTTGAAGGTGTGTATTTCTGCAGCTCTTACTGTGCTTCTCAGTAGGAACAGCCGACGGAGAGGAAAGGAGTCTTCTGTCAAATGCCGTTTTTCATATCCCAGATTAGCAACAGATACATTTTACTCTGCTTAATTTCTCAGAAGTGTTAGGAGGTTTTAAAACCAATTTGAATTTGAAAATGGTCTTAAGCATCATTAGCTTTCATTCTCAAAATGTGTCCTAGTAATAAACTTCAGTGAATTACTGTGTGTTTCAGATTGTTGTATACCTGTGTGCTCTGTTTTTCTAGTGCTGATGTTTTTACTGTTTATCAGGGCTTGGAGCAACACTTTCAGCAGTAAACTTTGCCCTAAAGCCACAATCTCTGGGTTGTTTAATGAAGCAGGCATAGTGCTTGCTGCTGCCCTCAGAAGGAAAGGCCCATGTAATCAAATAGTGCTGGAGTATGTATGTATAACATGCATCCTGTGAAGAGTAGTGTGGTATCAACTGCTGCAAAATAGTTAAATATCATTGGGGGTTTTGTTTGGTTGGTTTGGTTTTCATAGTTGGGAGGAAACATATTTAATGGATGGAGTGAAAAAGAGGGGAAGTTGTTAATTTTCTTATTTAGAGTTACACCCTTTCTTCTGTACTGCATTTTGTAAGGTAATTAACAAGATAGCAAAATCTTAGTAGTACCTAGGTTGAATTGACGAAACATTTAGTAGCTACTACAGTACTGAATGGCTGCAACTAAAGTGGTAGGTTTGCTTTTTTTATCTACATAAAAATAAAAGCAGTCATTGGCATCTGAAGGGTACACAGATCACAGTGGGGAAAATGAGCAAACCTCAAAGCTGACATTGAGGAAATTTGAAGATGTATTTTCAGTTAAAGTGAGAACATCTTCAAACATCCAAAGGTTCCAGCAATACAGTGATGGAGCACCAGCTTGACAGAAATGAAAGTCAGGAGAAGTTTTGGAGAAGGAAGGGTGATGATACTTTGCCTATCAACTTACATATGTAACGTTATTGGAGATGAGTGCGATGTTTATCAGAAATTGTTACTGCTACCAGGGAGATACCGACTTGTTACTGACTTCAGGTATACAAATATCCAAGCACTTACTCCTCTGAACCTGGAACCTGCAATGGAATTTTCTTGGAGAATTCTATTTGAGATGTAAAATTCAAAGAGCTGAGCCTGGCAGATACGAGCAGGCTGGAAGTGGGGACATCTGGAAACTGCTGCAGCATTTTGGATCTACTGTGCTGGAAAGATAGGAGCCCTCACCAGCCTACCACTTAACTTAGTCTGATCTACCATTTAAAAGTGGTTTTTACTGTTAAGTCTGTGATACCATTGCACGCTTATATAAAGCATTCTTGCTTTTACTTTATAAGAGTATAATACAGTGTAATGTGTGTTAAGGGTTTCTCTAGGCCTTGATGTGACAGTTCATTGTCTTTATATCTGTGATCTAAATGTCTTGTAATCTACAATTCTGCCTTTTTAGGAAGCATTACATGGTAACACAAACATTTTTTGCATGTTATCAGGACTCTGGCAGAAAATCTCACCATCTTGGAAGTAAATATCTTGGAAGCTTTTTGGAAGAGCTTTCTGCATAGATGTAACTCTAAGCATGTACTTCTTGTGGGCATGGTTCCTTATTTTATTACCAGTGATGGTTGGAAAAAAAAATCTAAAAAAAAACCCCCAACTGACCATATTTCCTCTATTTAAATAGTCATTCTTTGTGTTTTTCTTTAATTTAGCTCTAATAAAAGTTTTAGCAGCTGTTCTGTGGTTGAGGAATTGACCCTGGGAGCAGAAAGTAACAGAAATTGCTCAAGCAGATGCTGTTTCTGCAGATACTTCTGTTCCCCAGCTTGCAGATAATTTTTTTTTTAATCTGGATTTCCAATGTATTGTGTTACGAAATTAATGAAAACAACCATTACTGTAGAGGTAGCTTGAATGATTATGTGCTAGCTAGGAGGTGTTGGTGTCAACAAGAGCTGGAAGGACTGGCAAACATGGCAACCACCTACTTAAAGTCAAGTTGTTTCTGTATTAAAGATGTACTTTTCTTTTTCCAACATCAAAAAGAATTCCAAGATGTTTAGTTTTTTCTGTCAAAAAGTAATAAAGGCTATTTTTAAGACTGCTGAGCATTTTGGTCTCCAAAGACACTGTTTTTATAAGAAGCTTTCTCTGAGACTGTCAGTAATAATTGAGGCAGAAACTTGAAATGTCAGAACCCCCTAAATGAGGGAATCTGCTGCTTTTTGTTTAGAAGTGCCCCAGCAAAGTGCTCAGCCCAGTGCTTGGGGGACAGGGGTCAGTCTGTGCCTAAACAATAAACCTCAGTGTGTGTTTAATGTTATAATGCTCCATGGACTCCTCCTTGGCAGAGATTGAGCCCTGCCGGCTTTGACTATGCACTGGTGTTTCGTTCTTCCTGCTTTCTGTAAATGGGCACCGTAAATACACCTTTAATTCTGACCATAATGAGCTGTGTTAATACTGTGTAGCTACAGTTTTGATTACTTTTGATCAATTGAATGTTGCCTCTTTGTAATCAGTCGCTCTTGGAATTCCAGTAGTTGGTACTCTGTGAACTGGAGCAGTAGGAGCTGTTCTGCTTGTCCCTGCCTGAGTTGGTTTACCCCAAAATTAAATTGACTGACTTACATGTTTTGTCTTTGGGAAAACATTCTTTAATGCTTAATTGCTTATATACATATAACATACTATATGTATTATATTTACTGTTACATATTGATTTACATGTATTGTAATTTGTTTTTCTTTTAAATTCTTCTTTTAGTTGATCATAGCCGGGTTAAACTGACCTTAAAAACTCCCCCACAAGATTCAGACTACATCAATGCAAACTTTATTAAGGTATGCATTATCTTAAAAGTTCTTATATTCTTACTAAGCTTTTATTTCATATCAATGCAGTTTTAACATATAGTCTGAGGTAAGAATTTAAAACTGAGAGAAGATTTTCTTTTAGTATGGCTTGAATACATTTGCCAACATCGTACCATTCGTAAAGCAGTTTTTTAAGTTTAATATTACTCTGTGTAATATAAAATACTTCATCTTTAGATGACGTGCAACCAAATTGTAACTTTATACTGTTTATAGGAAAATTCAAATACAATTGTTTTAACAGTTGATACTGTTAAAAATACCAGATTTTGGGAGACTGTTTTTAGGGATAATAATTGAGGCATTTGACAAATTGTGTATGTAAATATGTACTTTTTGCTGTTATTGGCAGAAGTGTGGCAATAGGATTACATCTAAAATTCTTAGAGAAACCAGGTTTTGGCTAAAAACCTGATACAGTGATTTCAAAGTGTGAATATCTTTGTTCCTTTGTAGCCTTATTCTGATGTTGCTTCTACATAGTAATGCTTATTCAGAAACAGGTGTTTCTATAAATCTCAGTTCTTGATTGTTTAGCTTGAAAAGCTCAATGTAATTGTTTTCAAGCTTTATATAAAACAAATTTTAAAGCTTTGGATTTTTGAATTGTGGTATTACTGGGAAGGAGGAACTTAAATTTGTTCAACGGAATGCTTTTTGGCAGAAAGTCTTTCAAATTTTCATCATTATATGTTTGAATAATAAGGAAAATGCAGACTTTAAGGGAATCCTCAGAATCTGAACGTACAGAAACTTAATATTTTGTTACAGTCTCTGGTTGCTCAGTAGCTGCTGTCATCTTAGGCCTCCTTGAAATCACCAGCAAAATTCCCACTAATGTAAATGGGACTCATATTTCATAGTCACCCTTCCTGTTGGATTAAAAAAAAAACCCAACTAATTTTACGTTATTATAACCTTATGCCTTTTTTATTCAGTGCAGATAAATTTTCTTTATAAACGTTAATAGTTCATTTGTGCAATCCTAGGGAGTACATGGGCCAAAAGCATACGTTGCTACCCAGGGACCATTAGCAAATACAGTAATAGACTTCTGGAGGATGATATGGGAATACAATGTTGCCGTAAGTACCTCCTTAAAAACTAAAATAGGGTATTACCTTTTTATGGCACAGTGATTGTGTAGCTTTTGCCTGAGCTGGTTGTTATTATTAAAAATGTTGACAGTGATTTAGTCCATGTACTTATCTTTGTTTTGTTTTTCTTTTTTTTTTTAATAGCATTCTATCTATCATTAATATTACTTATTCAGTTTAATAATGTAAATTCAAAGTAATAATTTCATTGAATGTATATGAAATCATGTGTGTTTATGAACAGGTTGGTGTTTGGTTACATCTGTCTTGTAGGAAACATTACAGCTCTGACTTGATGTGGACTGACAATATCAGATGCAGAAACAGCATGTGAAATAAAAACATAATAGCATACCTTTCTATTTATGCTGTTTTGGGTTACTTACTGGTTTATATATTCTACATCTGTTTAAACAGCTATTATCAGGAGTTAACTTTTAAGTACTGTTAGTTTTATATATTCAATCTGAAAATTTTTTTTATCAGACACTTAAATAATGATTACTTCTCATTAGAAAAATTGGACCAGATGATCCTTGAGGTCCCTTCCAACCTGGTACTCTATGATTATCTGATATTGTAACAAATAGGTTACCTGTTAATGCATTTTTATTGTGCTATTCACATTAATTTATCTGAAGTAGCTTCACCTAAGAAATCTGATTCTTGTATTTTAAATAGGGGTTTGTACCTGTTCTAAGCAGTCTGTGCCACTTTAAGCAAATATAGCTACGTTTTTTCTACTTTGTAAATGGTTTTATATCTTTATGATTAAGTTTTTACTTTATAATCAGACTGAATAAATAAATAAAGTATTTGAACAGGCTTACAAGGAATTCAAATTAGGTAGCCTTAAAATGTTGTATTAGTGTGGTAAACTATTGTGTGGGATAAAACTTGTACAATATTTTAGAAATAAAAAAACATGCATGAGCAGCTAGGAAAATAGTATTAATTATAGCAACCAATTCAGGAGTATCAGTATCTGCCCACATAGAAGCAAGCGGTAGAGTGTTGGTGAATTTACTTGATCTAAAACCAGCTAACTTTGAGCCTGTTTTTTCATTTTCAGATAATTGTAATGGCCTGTCGAGAATTTGAAATGGGAAGGGTGCGTATACTAACTACAACATTTAAATAAGCATTGCCCATGCAGGACAGAATGCCAATACCGGTGAAGCTTCATGTGGCAGATCCATAACTGTAAAAATAATCTGCCAGATCAAATGAGAATGCCTATGCTTACATTTGAGTTCATAGAAAATAGTGAACGTGACTGCTTTTCCTTGCTCTGTTTATGGTGTTACATTATTATTATTTAGGAGTCATCTGAGTGCGATGTACTTGTGTATATGCGGAACTGTACCAATGGTCTGTTTCTGGTCATGTCACTGTGGAAAAGAGGTCTGATCTTTGTGGGATGTAGGCCAGCTATCAAAATCCTGAGGCCTTCAGAATTTCCTGTCAATTGATACAGCTGCAAAAACAATCTGTCTTTTAAATCTCTCTGCTATATTTTTATGACCTGAGAAGGAAAATAATGAGGTCCAGAATTGTGAATTCCTAGCTCTCACAGAAGCTAAATCTGCTCTCATCACTTCCCTCTGTATGCTGCGTGCCTGTGCATAGGTAGGCATCGTGAAGTTCAGGTCCTGTTTGTTGGTCATCTGGGGTTTTGGTTTGGTATCCAAAAGAAAAGAGGTGTTACTGTTTTCAAAATAGTCCAGCAAGGCACCAGTGGGCAGATATGAAGGAAGAGCACCAATCGAGAGAGAATAAGGCATTTGAGATGATAATTTTGTCTGCTCTGCTTCTGTTAATCATCATCTTCCAGTAGTACACTCAAATTAAATTAGGATTCTTTGCTTTAACAGAAAAAATGTGAACGTTACTGGCCTCTGTATGGAGAATCAGCTGTAACTTTTGGACCGTTTCGTGTTTCTTGTGTGAGTATAAAGCTTTAGGGATTAATTTTGAAGGACTTAATGCTTTTGTAACTTAAAATAACTGTTCAAGCAGTTTGTATTATAAAACAAATCTCTTTTTAATTGTTTGGTACCAAATTTTATGCACAGACTCTCAAAAGAATGCAATGGAAGACAATGTGTGTATCTAAGCTGTGTGGGTTTTTTGAATGCTCCACTATTTTTTCTTAAGTAGGAAACTTGTGTGCCTTTGTCTCTTATTCTTTTATGTATCATTTCTTTAGCTTTACATGATGTAGGTTTGAATGTCCGTACCATACTCAAGAAATTAAATAATATTCATGCAGTTGTTTCTCTCCATTATGACTTGTGCATTCCGGATGTCCATAAGAAGTGAAAATAACACTGGATTAGGTTATTTTCTTTAAGTTACATAGATTTTATTTGCATGAATAAAGAAAATGGAAACTCTTTTTTTTTTAAACTTGTTTCTGTTGGTAGCAGATGCAGGTTTATTTGAAAATACTTCCTTTGCTTCTATTGTTGCTTTTAAGATCAAAACTAAAATGAGCAGCAGATCACTGTGAGGTCTGAATCTTTTCCTGGAGAATTCCTGGGGGCTGTCTAAAGTAAGCTGTGATTCTAGAAAGATGGAGGAAACCTGGATATTTCTGTTGCGTGTTGTGTCAGTGTTATTGGGAGTTCTCATCTCTGAGCATAACTATTAGAGCCTCTTCCAGTTTTGATACTAGCTCATAAATGGTCATGTAAGGATTTCTAGCTGATTAATACGCAGGGAAAGGGAGCATGGTTATGTCCTCCTACACCAAGCATAGCAGGGAGTTTAAAGTAATCATTCTTTCTGCGCTTTGTCATCTCAGTATCACACAGCAGTATACCTCAATGGGTTTTTGCAATCATCTCTCCTTGGTAGAGAAAGCTGCATAGTAAAAGAAGTTGCGGTGCAGTTACCATTTCTTTTAAGGGGACTACTTACAGAGCAGGAATTCACTTCATTCATTGCAAGCTTTTCAGGGCATGGATGAGGATATGGTGGGTGGGAGCACAGCCACCAAAATCAACGTGATCAGTGTGCCTTAGATGCGGGACAGTACCTGGTTGCCTTTGTACACACCTGTTTAAGTATCTTACTCCTTCCTGCATTAAACACCTATGTGGCCTGGTTGTCCAACTTCTAGCTCTTAGAGTTGTGCTTTCACTTCTAGATGACACCAGGGGCTATCGTGTTTGTGTTCAATGACAGCTGAATTGCTGAAGGGAGGAGAATAGAAAATAAGCCATGTATAGGATGACCCTTCTCTCTGAACTTGTTGCCAGCTTCTAGCAATGGACATAGCAGGACTTCCTTAATTTAGTGTTGCCCCCGGGTTATCAATGTTTTTATAATGCAGTGGATGCTGAATTTGACAAATGTTTTTGTTGTGGGTTTTGTTTGTTGACACTCACATCATTGTCGTGTTGTAAGAAAACCCTTCCTTGTGTCTTTATTTTTAACCTTGCCACCTGGTAGTTTAATCAGGTTCTGTTATCTTCTGAGTTACTGTTATGAAGTGAATGAAATCTGGCATTAATATCTTGTATAGAAAGCTAAGTTGCTGCCGTTTTAAAATCAATATTTTGATTCCTTATATTTTGAGGAAATCATAAATACAGAAACAATAAATTAAAAAAAGACACCTCAGTTTAAAATTTGTGGATTAGTTATATCCTGTATACTGCATGTTGATACTCTTTTCTAATTCATTACTGCTTTCTCATGTTTAGGAAGCTGAGCAAGCAAGAACAGATTACTTCATTAGAACATTATTACTTGAATTTCAAAATGTAAGTATACGATCACTTCTGATCTGAACTTTAGTGCTTGCTCAAATGTTTCTAAAATGATACAATGGAGGAAACTCATTAAAATACCTTCATTTTTTTTAGGTATTGACTCTGTATGTAAATAATCAAGTTTAAAAGTGATGTTAGAAGCTTAGTATACAAAATGTGCTGTGAAACTCTTTACTTGTCTTTTGTTCTTGGTTAGCCAAAGGTGTGTGGTGGTCTTCAATAGCATGTGTTAATAACCAGACAGTTTCATCACCCTTGGAGAGTTTCATAGTTTACCCCAACTGAAAACATCAAACTTGTCAAAACCCCCTGTTTTCTGTAGTTGTACTTCATCCAAAAAGGAGCTGTGTACTTGTTAGTATTCACCCTATACTTTCATTTATTGTCAGAGGGTTTTACAGCGTTAAAAGATATTTCTGATGCCCATTCATATACTTTTATTGCCAAATTAAAGCAAGAATGATAAAAACTTAGTGATATTTTTCCCCCAGAGTTTCTCACTGTAGCTTGCTAAAAGTTACTCTTTTTGGAGTTGAAATAGGTATTAAAAATACGGCGTGTTCTTGGTTAAACTGAGCTGCATTGTCTTTTTGCTGGAGAGCTTTTGCATTATTGAATTGTATGGAGTATGTTGAAGGGTGAAGACAGAAATGTACTTTTAAAAGTGAGCTCAAGACTTGAGAATTCTTTAGATTTTATATCCTAGTGTTTAAAATGTAGAATTGGCTTAGTAGACAAGTATTTTGATAAACCAGTTCATTTACATTATTAAGCTATCAACTTTAAATGTTTACAATCAGTCTCTTTATGGAAGAAATTGAGTTTGTTCATCTTAGTAGTTTGTGTTGTAAGTTTTCACCGTAAAACATGAGACCTACTTCATAAACTAAGTATCTGGTATAAACGAATATCCTTTTAAGTTCGCTTTCTGATTTCCCAGTATAATGTGAAAAGCTTTGTTACTTCTGTAAAATTTTGAATGAAGTATCATACAAAATACTATGCAAAAGAACTTAAAATTCATCTAAATATACAAAGTTATTCTAGTTTCTAGGAGGAAAACCAGTTTGACTGTAACTTGAAGATTATTTTAATCTAAAACACCAGGTTCTTTCTTAAAAAGTTACAGTAAAAAAATCTATAAAGGTTCCTTATCACTTTTAATTTCCATGTAAAATTTGGGTGGTTTATTCCTGACAGTTAAGCTAATGTGAAAAATCTCTGGTTTTGTCTTTAAATGTAACTGAGTGCAAGATCTTGGTGGTTGGGCAGCTGTAACTTTTCCTCCTCCTTACTGATGACGTTGGTTTTTCATAATCAGTTGGGTTTTTACAATTAGTTTTCTTAGGCAGGATTTGCCTTGTTTGTACTAGCTACAGCACTTGCACAGGTCTGGCAAACATCAAGCGTCAAAAATAGTTGGTTCAATTGGAAGATGATACAAATTTCCATGTTCAGCAAGCCCACTGTATTGCTTACAGAAGGTAGTGTAGGTCTTGAAGCTCTTAACCTGCAACGTTGATCAAAAAATTCACATGCCCCTCTAGTACGTTACTTTGAGGGTATACTGGAATCCGGAGGTGTGACGCAGCATGGGAAGGAGCAGTAGAACTGGCCATACTGTGGGTGGTTTGGATCATGCTGAGACACTATTTATTCTTCCAGGGATTCAGGTAGCTGAGGAACTAGGCTGTCCTCAGGCTCTCTTTTTACCTTGTCTTTGGTACTATTGAAACATGAGCTAACTAGCATAAAAGCGTACCTACTGTTGTTGCAAGTGTGATCCATATTTACATATGACCTGAATTATTTCCCTCATTTTCTGAATTTCCTTTTGTGTGCATGTGCACACGCATGCACACACTTCATTTTGCAGTGTGACAGAACAACACTGTGACCACCCCCCCACCCCCGCCCCATTCCTTTCCAATGTAAGTTACTGGAGTAGGATTGGAAAAAGAACCTTTCATGGTGGTCTTTCCCTTCCTGTCTTTCAAAGTTTAAGAGTGTAAGGACAGAGAATCTTTTAACACAGCGCAATGTTTTGGGTCCTTTAACCTAGAGAGGGGTTTCTGTGAAGTGTCCCATAGTGCTTTTTCCTATGCATTAGCAGCACTCAAAATGCTACTTCACAATTTCCCTTTTGTTTTGCTAAGTGATGTAAGCTGTAGGGGTTTTTCTGTGCAGGCTTTGCTTGTCCACACTTAATCACACAAAAAGTGCACGGTTCATAGAAGTAATTATTTCATACAAGCTCCTCAGATACCTGTTATCATTAACACCTTTCTTCCTCCCTCTCCCTTAGGAGACTCGTAGTGTTTATCAATTTCATTATGTTAACTGGCCTGACCATGATGTCCCTTCATCCTTTGATTCTATTCTGGACATGATCAGCTTGATGAGAGAATATCAGGAACATGAAGATGTACCAATCTGCATACACTGCAGGTATCAAATATATTTATTTAGGTTTATATATGTTCAGTCTAGACTTCTGGTATGAGATGCATTTGTTTGATTCTAAATGGGAATTTATTTGTTTATTAATTCTAGTTTTCTAAAAAGGAATCGAGCTTAAAATGAAAGATGTTGATTCTTCATGTAGACACTGGAAATATAAAGCTTATAGTGTGTTTTTAATAAATTAAAATAACTTCTAACACACCTAACTGTTTATGTTCATAGTGCAGGATGTGGAAGAACAGGTGCCATCTGTGCCATAGATTATACATGGAATTTGCTTAAAGCTGGGGTAAGGAATCTTAAACGAAAAAATTTTGTGGCATTCCATCATTTCATAATAGTGATTGAGTCCCCAAATGTTCTAAAATAGTGAAATGTGTAAGATGTTCTGAAACACTTTTGATAGGTTGTATGTTTAGCTTCATTGCATTCATGCCCTGTGAATGCAGAGTATGAACTTACTTTCCTTTGACTAAGTTTTTATCTTAAGAAGTCACTGAAAAATTCTAAATTTTTAAAATATATTTCGGTATGATGTGATTTTGACTTCAACTTTTTCAGTGTGTCTGCTTAACCTTGCAGCTCCTAAAGCCTAGTATTTCAAACATACAGGGATAATTTCATTCTGGGATTTTTAGGTTATGAAGCACCATTAATGTTGCAATGTCATATTAAAGCTTCTATTGGATGTCTCATTTTCAAAATACTCTAAATGCTCTCATCTGTCTGAAATCAAATGTTTAAAACCAGCTCTGAAGAGGAAATGCTTTTTTAAAAATGAATAAATGCAATGTAGAGAGAACAGATTGGCTTTACCTACAAAAGTTAAACATACTTTTGGATGTCTAACAGCTTTTGCATTGCTGTTCTGACAAACAATTATGTCAATGTAATTGATTTCCTTCTGTATTTCAGAAAATACCTGAAGAATTCAATGTATTTAATTTAATACAGGAAATGAGGACACAAAGGCATTCTGCAGTGCAAACAAAGGTATAGTTTGTTTTAAAAAGAGTCTTTTATCATATGATAATATACTTGTTCTCATGCACTGATTTTTTTTATCTGGTAACCTGCTATAGGAGCAGTATGAACTTGTGCATCGAGCCATAGCACAGCTGTTTGAAAAGCAACTGCAAAAATACGAAAGTTGTGCAGACTGGAAGATTGCAGATGGAGTGGTATGTGTCTTTCCCATATGAGTTTGTCATTTGTAGCTGCTGGCATCTAATCAAGGTTTTCCTGTAAAGTCTAGTTTTTAAAACTGTGTTCAGTGGTGTTAAGGCACAAACAGAGCCTGTTTGGAGTACAAGTGTGTTCTGCTCAGTAGGGACAGGTAGTCTGTACCCAACTGACACTGAAGACCTGGTTGTAAAGGTTGAGTCAGATAATTAAAGCAGTATTTACCATGTATACCAAATACATGCGCAATGGGGAAGCAATAAAAGAATTCAAGTACAGATGAAATGCAGGACTGTAACTAAATATTTAAATTGTGAAATGTACTTACCCCAATGCTGATATATTGGCAGCAAACGAAATTTTGTCTAAGCCTGACCACCTGCAAATTACTTGTTAAACAGTATGATAAAGAGCAAGTTAAAAATAAAACTCCAGCCTACATATGCATATATTTATATATAAATAAATAATAATAAATACATGTCTGTGTCTATAGATGCTATCTATCTGATCTATGTTGAGGTTAGACTCTTGAAAGAGGAACTTCATTGAAGTTTATTTTCTCCTTCCCCAGAATGTGGTCTTGCGCACAACTTTAAACCAGTAGATAAGCATTGTTTTGACTCACACTTGGATATTACATGCTGTTGCTTACTGCCTTGGTCTTGGCCCAACACAGCATTGATGTAGTTGAGCAGGACTGGCAATGAATGATCCTCCCAAGTTCTCATACTGTGTTGTACTGTTTGCTCTGGAACAGATTGGGAGAAAGAAAAATAACTTAAAAATGCCTTTGTCTGGAAGCTTCGTACTCTGCCCTTATAACAAAGTGGGGGCGGGGGGCCGGAGTTGGAAAAATTCTGTTCTTCATTGGTAATCATTGTATTTGAGGATTTTTGTCTTTGTCCTTGCACTTCAGATTTCACGTCCCCTTGGTTTTTCCCCATTTTTTATGTTCAGATATGTTTTCTTGGCTACTACTGGGCATGTGAAAAATAGCTTTTTGGTTCAATGTATTCTTTCTCTCTCTGCAGTCCAAAACTTTATCCTTGGACTGCCTTTAGTTTATTCAGTAATTTTATCTGTCCCTTCAGTACCTAACTGGTGTAGACTCTAGCTCTCTAGAAGGATGTGTGAGCAGTATCTTCAGGACCCTTTGAAATATCTGGAAACAATTTAAAATCTGCCTTTATTAATAAGCATCCCTTCAGTTTTAAGGGTTTAACTGTTCTAAACTGTTTTTCATTCTTGGCAAAAAGGTGCATACCCTTCTGTTAATTCCTAAGAATTTATATCAGCTCATGCACTAGTTCTGAGATCTTTAGTCATGACAAGAAACGTGATGGAATAAATGCAATATGGATAGGGCAGGCTGTTTTAATTTGTTGCAGGTTTGATATTCAGCCTAGCTGTTCTGTGAATTTTCATGTTACTTCTGAGGGATGAGCATGATGGAGTTTGGAATGTGCAGGTTTATTAGCTTTGTATGGAAGTGATTAGTAATTACTTGAGTTTTGGTCATAAAATAATAGGCAGATCAGTCTACTGTATCTTCTGGTTATTTGACTTTGAGCTGACCTGTGTCTGCACTCTTACACAGAGTCAAAAATGCCTCTTATTATTTACATATATTACTATTATTATTGTATATACTATTATCATTATATATATCATATGATATATTATTATATATATTAAATTATTATTT